TTAAGAATAACATCCATAAAGAACTAGCAGCATGAAATTTTTCTTTCAATACACTTTTCTGGATGCATTGCAAGAAGAATAGACTATTTTATATATTTTATTTCTTAACAATGATATCTAATAGAATGGTAATGTTTWTATTTTGCCCTTCTATTATGTCTTTCAGAGAAAAGCGCTCCAGATCTCACAGCACATTTTACAGCTGATTTCACAGATGGTGTAGACGGTTTTCAGCTGAAATAAATGGATGSTTAAAACTCCTTTCAGGTTCCCCATCTTCAACCTATTTATTCTAGCAGGAAAAAACAACAAACTCACACCACCTGTTGTGCCAGCTCCCCAGGCAGGTCTCATAGAAGCTTCAAGAGACCTTTTTTCCACAGCTGATCCTACACAAAACTGTTGCATGATTTTTCCACAGTCCCTCTGCCGCAGCTTTCCAAGCCTGTAGCCACTGCATGGGCAGTAGCCAGATGCTCTTAAATGTTCATGTTATAGCTATTAATTTTTTATAGCAGGAGTAGGGACTTTATGGCTGACTGAGCAAAGATTCAAGCTCCAACAAGCCAGTCTGGGTCTAATTGCAGCTCAGGATGGATAAAGCTTGATTGTACAAGAAATAATTATGTTATGTGTACTGGGCAGCCTGCTATCTCACATAAATCTAACACCAAAGCTGCCCTGCAAGGCTTGATTTTTGATAAGTTTAGAAGAAATTGCAAAATTAGAGAGAAAAAAAGAAGTCTTTCTGCTAAAAGACTGCTTAAAGACRTCTGCTAAAAGACATCTTTCTTATGAACATCACACTACAAGGAGTAAAAGTCCAAATTTTCATCAGGAATTGTGATCTCTCTACTGTTTTAATTTATATATGAGCCACTCTAAAACCACATTAGTACCAAATTATCACTGGTTCTTGTTGTAGTTCATAGAAAAATACATTTTTATTTACTAGAAAGTCGTTAAGCTCATGTTGAGGAGCTTTAGTCTTTCAGCAGTACCTTTAGAGTGCAGAATGAGAGACACACAT